CTTATGGAGGGGAGTATTGTGTACTAGAAGAGTAGGAAGGATTTTACTCTATTATCACCATGTAACAACCACTAATACCTAGATTTCCAGGAGTCCAAGACAGCACACTGTGCCGGGCTATCGCTTACTGTACTTGTGAATGCTTTTCAAAACCCACCATTCATGCAGGGCAATTCAAGTAAGAATACTAAAATTAGGAACCTGGTTTAGATATTTGAGAGTTACTTAGAATTAAAGAATTTTAGAGCTGGAAGACAGCTGGACTCAAGGTATTTTAGATCATATTGCTAGGAAGTTTCTAGTTGACATATTGAAAGAAATGCTTGCTACTCTCATAAGGCAACAGTAACTACTTTGGGCTCAGGATAGAACATAGGATGAGGTCAGATGAGTTGAGAATATCTTTAATTTCTTCAGGGCTTACATTATGGTATTTACAAAGAAAATGACAGCCCACTCTTTTCAGGGTTTCCTTTAAAGCTATTATTTTATGAACACTAAATAGGGTTACCAGATTTAGCAAATAAAAAAATATCGAGTTCAATTTGAATTTCAGATAATCAACAAATAATTTTTTATTATAAGTATGTCCTTTGCAATATTTGGTATACCTTATACTAAAACACTGCTTTTATTTGTCTGAAATTCAAACTGAATTGAGAACCCTGTATTTTATCCGGCAATGCCAACACCAAAAGATTAACAATTGGCAGCAAAGCACATTTCAATTTTATGTGAGGAAAAGGCCCAAGATTCCAATAGCAATTCCATGGCCTGGCACTGTGGAAACCATCCATCTGCTCCAACTGAACATTCAGTGAAATAGATGATTTAATGAGCAGTTACTATGCCCCTAGTTCTGTGCTCAATATTAAGAATACAAATATCATCATGAGAAATTGTCCCTAAGCTAGAGACCCTTCATAGAGGTGAAGCAATATGATTCTCTCATATGGGAAATATATAGAGTAGCATCTTCATCTGTAACATGGAGATAACTGTAACTTCCTCATTCATAAACCTGCCTTAGAGAGTTGTGAGACATAAATACTAAGGAACTTAGAACAGTATTTCGGAAATAGATATAATGATAATTATGATTATCATCATCGTCAACAGCAGCAGCATTATCATCTGGGGACAGCAGTTTGTCCTCCATGAGACCGTAATATTTCAAGTGGATTCAGTACTCAGAATATGGTGCTGAGAAAGAGGACTCTGAAGCTTATTATTTTTGCCATCTTTTTCACTTTGTGTGACCCTAGGTAAAATTCTGCTAGTTTCTTCAACTGGAAAATGACAAAGAATGGGTAAAAAGTTATTTACATGTCATATGAAAAAATATATAATCTATAATTATCAATGATATTCCTTACACTGGCTAACTTATTAAATCAGTAAAGTCCAGATACTTACAAAACCACTGCAGATAAACAAAAATGTTTGAGCAGACAAAAAATATATATATATCACATGTCTGAACACACACAAGGTTTCAAATGCCTAGAACTACATAAATGACT